TCATGTAGCTGGTTCATATGAACAAATCGTTAAGCTGGCTCAGAAGAACAGCTTAGCCAGTTTATAAAACCGTTTCTTTTGCACCGTTCAACTGACTCATGCAACTAGTTCATATGAACTGTTATCTTCAAATTCAAATTCATTCCAATTGTTCCGCTCTCTTTGAGCTATGCAGAAGAGCCCATCAAGTCAAGTGTACCGCACTAGAGCTTCAACGCCCAACTTCAACTCCCATTCCATTCCAGCTCCCGCTCCAGCTCCCATTACTTAGTCCAGTTTTATTTGGTTGCTGTTGTTGTGGGTGGTCGGCTTTGTTTGCTGCATTATTCTTATAACGTTGCACGATATGAGAACTCAATAAATTTGCCTTACTTTGGCGGCTGTGTGAGCCATTTCAACAGGCGATTAGTTGCCAGGTGCTTGCTGCCTGGTGCCTGGTGCCTGGTGCCTGGAGCTCCGGCTATTGCCTGGTTCAGTGCCAGGCTCTGCTCCACCCGATGGCCCCACTGCCCGCGCCTGCGGCAGCTCTTGTGCAACAGTTGAGCGCCCCGGGCCAAATTGAATGGCCGGCAAAGGCACACGTGAGCTGAGCTGAGCTGAGCCTGTTGCCTGGACCTGCAACTGGCTGGAGGCAGGGGCGGGGTGGGGCGCTCGCAAGGGAGGGCTGGGCTTGTTGGCTGGGCCTTGAGCCTGTGCCTGGAGCTGTGCTTGGGCAACTGGGCCTGGACTTGGGTGGCGCTCTAATAGGTTTTACATAACACACACGTCGCAAATAAATCTAAATGCAACAGCAGCAGCAGCAGCAGCGACGGCGGCAGCGACGGCGGCAGGAAGCTTCATGAAAAATCCTTTAGCAAATAAAATTTACATAGACCGCACACCAATCCACACACACACGCACACACACACACACATGCACACACATGAAGGTTTTCCTGTGAATTTATTTGAAAATTTATTGAGTTTTCGTGTTAACCATGCATAATTAAGTTTTGCCAGCCGTCGACTGATGTTGGCACGGAACACCCGGTGGCTGGAACTGGAACTGGAGCTGGAGCTGGAGCTGGGCATGCAACATGGTCTGAAATCTATTGGCCTGCACCAGAAGCCAACAAGTTTTTTGCGATCCATCGCCCTATGCCCATGGGCCAGCTACAACACGTTTTAACTTATTGTAAATAAAGGATTATCAAATGCCAGCTATCATTTAATTTATTCATCATTGCATATATTTCGGAGCCATCAGTTGCGTTTGATGGCGAGTGACAGCAGTCGGAGTTTAAGCTCAGCATTGACCCCAAATGTGCGCCACAATATTTGCTGAGCCCCATTGAACTTGCAATAAATGATAATCCAGCTGGCTGTGGAGCATTTTGTATGAACTAAATCAAGTTTAATTTATGCAAATTTATGCATACATTGATATGAGATTCTCATGCAAAATTTTATTGTGTAAGCCGTTTGCGGAGCTTTAAAAGCGCATTAAAGCTTTACAGGAGAGCGAGTGCGCTTTTATGCAAATAAATAGTTTGCTATGAGCGCTTAGAAAGCACATTAAAGAGCATCAGAGTATTAGAGCTTTTTCGCAAACTTCATAGACTTTATATTAATTGTAGAGCTTTTTGAAGAATTTCGTACATTTTATATCAACTGATTGTTTTCCATTATCATTTTCAAAGCTGTTTCTAGTCGTTAAAAAATATTTATTTGAGATAAAATATAAAATTAAATAAATTATTTATTTGATATGAATCAGGACCGTAACAATTATAGCTTTTATAGCAAAAAATTTAGAAAATAAGAATTATTTTTTTGAGTAATTAAAAAAAAAATCATTTTTAATTATTATAAATAATTTATATGATAAAAATCCAAAATAATTATTACAGATCAATTTTTATAATAAAAGTTGAGCCATAATAAAATTTAAAATAAGCGTTATGATTTGATTTTTATATAAAAATTGATCTGTAATAACTATTTTTGATTTTTATGATATAAATTATTTATAATAATTGAATTCAAAACTCTATTTTGCGGTCCCTGATATAAATTCACATTAAAGCTCTTAATCGATTTATTCGATTAAGCAAAATTTGTTTAATACAAAATTATAGTTTCCTATGTTTTGAATAGAGAAAATAGCGCAAGTAAAGCCGCATAAAAGCTTAGGAAAGCTTACGTTACTTTAAGTGTAAAACATATTCTTTGAAAGCTTACAGCTTTTGCAAAGATTTCAAAATTCACAAGTAATATCTATTATATATATATTATCCTTTTAAATTGTCCAAATTTATATGCTTAACTATCTGATAGCTCTTGGCTTAAAAAGCTCTTACTCTTAAATTAAAAAATTCATTAAATATATTTTCCGAAATGACTTTCATCAATTTCCACTGAGCTGACATGCTTCGAGTAGGTCACCTTTTTTACAGGTTAGTTTTCATGTTTATTGCACATTTAGTGGCCTCAGCTGCCAGTGTTGTGTAATTTTCTGGGCGTTAAAGTAGGGCTTTGACTTTATTTACGATCGAATGGAAAAGGAAAAAAAAAGAAAAAAAATGAAAACCCTTTGACAAGCTGTTCGTGCACTTCTTACACTTTCGCCTGTTATTTTTAGGGGGCTTACGGGTTGACAGTGCCGGGCTTAACGCCGTAAATGTTATTAATGCGTCGCAGGCGCTGAACGCTATGGGAAATCAAGTTATTTGACTGCTGCTCGAATTATAATTCCTGATTGCATTTATTTGCTTTATTTCTCGCACGGAACTTCATCTATAATGCAAGCAAGTTGCCAGACAGCACGGCGCCCAGTCTCCGATTGCTCCGTGCTCCCGCCACCCACCACGCCCACTTTCAGCTCGAACTCCAACTCGAACTGCAATTCCAATGCCAGTTCCAGTTCCGACTGCAGCTCAGCTTTTGCTCATCCATGTTGTTGCCCTGTCGCCCGTTTGCCCTTTTTGCTGCTTAAGTGAAATGCATAAAAATCAAATAATTTTCCTGTTTTTCATTTGCTTCACTTTGCTGCATTTACCGCGCTCCGCGCTCCGCGCACCGCCCCTGCACCTGCCCTTGCCCTTGCTCAGCAGACTGCTCTCTTCTTTTCTTTTCCTCCGTCTTCTTCT